ACCTCCCGGTCGGCTTCGAGCCGGCGTCCGAAGAATGCGGCTAAAACTTTTGCGAGATCCCGAGTTTGTTTTGCGAGATCTCGCAAAAGTTTTATATGAAAAATAAATTTAAAAAAAATAAAATAAAAATCATCAGGTTCCTACCTGTAAATAGAAGCTCAGATGAACAACGCATAACAGGTTACACTGTGTCATTTTTTATTTAATGAACACTGAGCCAAAATGCAGAAACAGTAGGTGAAACGCAGAGTAAACTCTTTGATTCAATAGCTTGGAGAGCCTCTTTCAGCATTAATAACTTCAAGTATTTTTCTGTGGCTTTTATCAGCCTCTCACATCACTGTGAGGAGATTGTCACCCACTACTTTGTTACAATATTGCTCCAGGTCATTGGGGTTTGCTGTAATTTGTTCATGCATTGCTCTCTGAAGGTCACAGCATTTAAATCACCAATTAAATCAGCATTTAGTTCGCATTTAGATCCTGAATGTTTTCCAGTTTTGAATAATCTTTTTCACTTTCTTAATTTTCCCTTTAACACTTCCCAGACTGATGAGCAGCAAAAAATTCTTTTCTAAGATCATTGCTGATGTCTCTCCTTCTTGGCATTGCATGAACACACACCTGGATGTTCCAGACCAGCAAACTGACCAAACCTCTGCTCTTATAGAGATGTTTACACTTAGTGATGATCAGTTAATTAAGTTGATTAGCAGCACCTGGCTGACCCTCTTAATTCCTTAAAGCAGCAAGGCTGTGCTTTTCACACAGTTCGTCTGTATTTTGGTGTTGTTACTGTTAAATAATAGCTCTGTATGATAAGTTGCATTTTTACCAAATTGTAAGAATCAGATAATTTTTTTTATTATATATCGATGTTTAAACCATAGATACAGTATGAAAGAGGGTGTACTTTATTTTTATCATTACTGTATTTTGCATGTGCAAACCAAGTTAAAAGTTGCTTTAGCTTCAGTAGTGCTTTCTCTCCAGGCTGTCATGTTGTGGGATCACAGAGGAAGGTTGCGTCTCTGTGGCCTCAGCTCTGAAGTCCAACCCCTCCCACCTGAGAGAGCTGGACCTGAGCTACAACCATCCTGGGGGGTCAGGAGTGAAACTGCTGTTGGAGCGACTGGAAGACCCAGAATGTAGACTGGAAACGCTGAAGTCGGTACACTGTGTAGATTCCACACTAACTGATTTTATACCTTTTCTACACAGGATTTTAATCTTGACCATCAAAAACAAAATAATGAACTACAGAGCTAGAACTGCTTAAACCTTCTCAACATGAGCTAAATAGCAACTCTATGTATTAAATTGTAGTAACCGGTACTTTTGAAACGGTGCAGGTGCTCAAACCGGTGCTTAAAGAATAGAGAACACAAACTTTGTCCAAAAACCTCTCATGTTTAACTGTTTTCCACTTTTTCTTTTGTCATTTTAGCCTTTTTGGCTTGTAAATTTAAATTGGGCTTAGCTTATAATATAAAGCGTTGTGATTTGGCGTTGCGTTAATAAAACTGAATGGAATTAAATTGGCAGTGTCTGAATTGGTTTTGTAGTGTAAATGTAAAGACACTCTCGGCTTTCTTGGTTGTCTGTAATGGCGCCATTGCCTTTAACAGGACCCACTTCTACAGAGTCAAGATGACTTTTTGTCAAAAATGCCTACGATGTTGCTCTAACACCACTCAAATGTCGACCTTCTTAAAATCCAACAAAAGTGGTATCAAACCTTTGTTTAAAGATATTAATGAAAATGAAAAAGTCAAGAGGTCAACCAGTCCCCCCACATTACCAAAATCAAACAAAGTTGATGTCAAACGTTTGTGCTGCAAACATTTTAAAGATATGAATAAATGTTTCTAGAGGTCATCCAAGGTCACCCTGCCCTTTTCTGTACTGTGAAAAATTTGTGAAACATAAAATAGTATTAGATATTTTTAAACTAGGTTATAATATAGCAGTTAGAACAAACTGTGCATGCTGTCGGAGAAAAAAGTTTGTTTGCTGGTAACAAAATACAAACTATCAGAAGAATGTGGGCGTGTTTCCTGTTAGAAAAGGTCAATACTTGGAACTGTCTGAGCATCTCAAGTCTAATTCAATAACTGAGAAATAATAGCCATTTCCATCATCTAATTCACAAAATAAAAAAGGACTTTCTTTCATGAATTGTTGCCATCATTCCTTTGTGCAGAGCACAGTGTGAGGACATGCGCTGGTTTTCAGATGCTATGGTTACATCCTTTCTCAGGTCATCATATGCACGGGGTCCTTTTACAGAATGCCATATAATGCCCAAGTGTTTCTGGTGTTGGGCCCTCCTGAAATGCAATGACTGCTTTCAGCATGAATTTCTCTCTTTGGACTAGCATAATGAATGGGAATTCACTAAGTGAAAACTGTTTTGGATTGGAAAACTGTACTCCAGAGTTTCTGTAGAGCATTTCCCAAGGTCTGTGTTACTCCAGACAAGTTCTCTGAAGGAGTCCCTGTGCAGAGTAGCTTTCCTGATGAATCTATTTCAACTTCACTCACATAACTGCAGCCTATTTAAGGTCCCAAACTACTTTCTATAGCTATCAAGGTCAGCTAGTTAATTTAAACTGATGGGGCTAAGTCTCTGGTTAACTCAGCACATCATTGGTAAATTACTTTATCAGTTAATGTTGCAAAATTAACTAAAGCCAGATTCACTGTTTTGAGCGATGAGTACATTTTGATTTGACACTATATAAATACATTTGAATTGAAGTGAATCCTTCTCCACACAGACCAAACCCACAGGGTGGAGCATGTCTCTGAGTGCTGCTTCACCTTTGTTGTTTCATATCAGATGCTCGTTACTTGTCCTTTGACCATTTTTTTTACGCATCATCTCTGATAAGGTTGTTTTCTCTCCATCTGTGAACTAATTTTATCAACTCAAGGCAATAATTTCCTGTCACGGTGCCTTGACAAAACATGATTATCATATTAGATTATTTCATGTTTATTTACTAATAATAACAGCCTGACCTCTTCTGCCTCAGTGTGGACCACAATGAAGAGCACTGGGTCGACCCACAGCTTCTGAACAAG